GAGCGGCTATCTCGCGAAACTCTGCACCCAACCCATTTAGGATGTAAAGAGTTAAATCGTCATCCGAGATAGGATGATCGATTATTGCGAGTTCATCTGCAATTATCTTAATTGCATGAAGAAATTCAGTGACTGAACGACGACCACGAGTTTGCAATGTGAGATCCTCTTTGAGTTGCATTGCACGTGTTCGAGATTTTCCCGCATAGAGACGGGTGAGTGTTGTCCAAGCTTGATGGGATGTTTTGCAGGATGCAAGAAGAGGGGTAATTGCAGTAGAGGTTGAAGCAAGGATAGCATGAAGAATTAGTTTATCTTGGCGAATCCAGTAGGAATTCGCTGCTTTGGAGGTTGCAGAATTTTCGGCATCGATGGCAGGACATATACGCTTGCCATTAACAAAGTCGATGAGGTCATATCCAATCAACAGTGCTTCGAATTGGGCTCTCCATTGAGGAAAGGTGGATGGAGTGAGTTTTTCGTTGATGGTAGTGGAAGCATTGATGGTGATAATCGGATTATCAGAGGACCCAAGAATCACAGCCATTTTCAGAAGAAAATTAAATCTCGTTAGAGACCGGCTCTCTTGATACCATGAAAAAGATTTGGGGGTCCAACTTAAAAGGTCAACCTTATTAAGAGGAGTAGCCCAAGATCTTTATTAATTGGTCTGTGTCAACATCTTTATTCGATGTGGGATTGTATCCCTTAACAACATCATTAGCCACCTGTTTTTGTTGCCGATCCCGACACCACCAACTTATTTTCTGCCAACCTCTAAGCCTAGTCCCACCATTGCCCAATCAACACCCTAAACCACCAATGCCTACACAAGAAACCACCACCAGCACCACAAAGCAAATCACTCATTCCGACATCAAATATCACTACGAATTTGATCTGAAACTCAGAGCATTAAATTTTTTAAAATGTGGATTTCGTTACTTTTTAATTGCGTTAACTTAGTTTGCATTTTAGTAACATGTGCTACTATTATACTTGTTTATTTATTTTTACTTTATTACCTTATTTTACATTTTATTATCATATGTGTTACTAGTTTATTAATTTATTTTTATAAATTACTTTGTCACCTTATTTTAGATATATATTTGTTACATATGTATTAAAATTTTACTTAATTTTTTTTTTTTTATTTTAGAGTTACATATGTGTTTTTACGTTACTTTTATTCCATACTGATAAGTGCATTTTTAAATACTTATTTTGTCACAAAACATGACTAATTGTTGACAAAAGTGTTTGAATATGGTATAATTCTGCATAATTTTGTTTTGTAACACTATATTGATGGATGTGGCAGAAATCAAGATAAAAGATATGAAAAATGACTAAAATGAAAGAAAATGAAAGTCCAGGGACCAACATGAAAATAGTCGAAAGATGACCCGAAGCAAGAATCGAAAATGTAAACAAGCTAAGTACTAATTTGATGAATACAAGGGATGTTAGAAGAAGGAGAATGAAGAGGAGAGATCAAAATGAGAGAAAATAATGTTTGAGACTAAATTGACACAATTGGAAGTTCCTATCTACCATGTGGTCGCATGGTAGAATTCTCCATGCGGTTCTACAACTACCTGCAGGGAATACAAAGGCACTCTTAGATGAACCATGCGATCGCATGCTCGTTTTTCGAGATGAAATTTTTGGTTTCCTTATTTCGTTCAAACATTTAAGGAAACGAATCTTGGGATGCATATAAAAGCTTAGAGCCGTCAAATACGAAGGAGAGAGGTATTCCAACTGAGAGAGAAACCCTAGAACACATGTTGAAGGAAATTTTGAGCCAAAATATGAGAAACACAAAGATTGACGAGATTTCAAGCAGAATATTAAACTAGTGATGTCGTTTCTTCAAATATCTGTGTTTTATTATTTTCTCTATGTTAAGTTAGATATTTATGTACTATGAGAACGATGAATCATGTGACGTAATCCGTTAATTCCTAGTTTTACATTTTTGACATTAAAACACGTTAATCGAATTTGAATTGTTTATATACAATTATGTGCGCAAATGATTGTTTGAATCTAGTTTCATGTATTCGAAAGAAGAGAAATAAGCTGACAATATATAAATCATCGTAGGGTTCAATAGGGGATAGAGATATACCGATATGCGTTACGTGAATCTCTAAGTGTTCACAAATATCCATACATTCTTGTATATTTGCATTCGTCATAGGGATATAGCCGAGTCGTATATAAGAGTAGGTTCAACATTACTCGAGAGAGAGATTGTTGGATAGAATAGGAACATCGATTCATCAAAACTTCAACCGTGTTGTCAAGTTGTAGAATTGGGATTAAAATAGATCATTGCATAGAGATTCGTGATCCTAATGCATCTTTCATTCATTAAATTTAACAACCCGTTTTCAAGCATTGTTTTGCATTTTAGTTCAACTAGTTTACTCATAATCACATTCGAAAATTAGTTTAGTCACAATTTCCATTACAACATAAATTTCCTATTTTCTTGTTTCGGTTAAGGTCGAGATAGTAAAATTGAACTAAATCAATTACTGTGAGACGATATTCGGAACTCTAAATTCAACTTTATTACTTGTTATGAACCATATACTTGCGAAATTTAAAATCGAAATATTGCATAACACATACCCTAACAATATCAAATTCGCAACCCTCCCAAAGCCTAGCGCCGCCATTGCCAACACCCCAAACAACCACCCTCTAATTTGATTTTTTCGTTGTTGCTAATTTCCTGCAATTTTTCGTGCTTATTCATTTGAAGCTAGATTTATGCTATCAACTGGAAATGAATTTTTTGATTGCTCATTTGGTAGATTATATTACTATTTATTAGATGTCCGTTTCCCCTTTCAGTATATATGTTATTCAAGTTCTTGTTTATTTCTTTTGAAGATCTAGTAGTTCTAACTGCATCTGACCATCATATACTAGCCAACCGGTGATTATTGCATTTTTTATGTTTTAATTTTATAATAATGTTCTTATTATTTTTAAATGGAACCAACTGCTTTCGGTTCGGTTCGATTCGGTTCTACCATTATACATGGAACCGTTTTGTCGATGTATAAAATTAATTCCAGAATGGTAGCTTGCAAGCATATCGTTTATCTTGGAGGTTTAGGTACCTCAAAAAACTTATTTATGGAGGTGAAGATTATCTCGAATTAACCTATACCATCTTTTAATTTTCTTACTAGAAAACACAATTATAACAATTGGCCATCAGAATCGAGCAACAAAGCATGCAATGGAGAATCGGCTGGAAAGAATAGAGAAAATGGTGTATAGTTCTGCTATTGGTCAGAAGGAAATTTCCAGCAAAATCATAAGATGTTGGAAGGAAATTTAGAACTGATTCCAAGTCAAATGCCAGAAATTTTATCACTTCATTGGTACTCAAAGCCTTTGCTGAAGCAGCAACGTCGCAAACTCAGTAAATACTCAAAGCCTTTCCTAATTATTTCAAACTCAAAAACAAGATATCACAGAATATCGAGAACAAAATTTGAACATATAGAAAAGAGAAAAAAAAATACCTGAGAAGAAATCATAGGAGGGGAAAAGAAAAGGAGAGAAATATCAAGGAAAGGTAAAGAGAAATAGATCTCCAGTGAAATAGGTTTGATTTTAAGCAGTGTTCTAAAAGGCACATTTAGACGTCGCATAGGCGCGATGCACAATGAAAACACCAAGTCAAGTGGCTTGGCGCCTTAGTTAGCGGTTAACGGAAATCGTTGACCGTTAATGTGTGCCTAGGCACAATTATGTATATATTTTTTAAAAAAAATTAATTTTTTTACATTTTTTAAAATTAAAACTTAAAGGTTGATTTACATTTGAAACTTATCTTTTTATTGAAAACTTTTGAAAAACTGTATAAAGTTTTTATAAATCTGTTTTCGATGTTCGATATGCGTCATTTTTAATTATTAAATGATTTTTTGATTGATTAGAAATTAAAATAATATTAAAATAAGAAAATGTCTTTTTACGTTTTTTACGCACATGTCTCGCTTAATCCATAGCTTGACATCCACGAATTATGCATTTTAGAACACTGATTTTAAGAACCTCATTTTGGATTGAACTAACGAGAGAATTCCAATTCAGAGCTCCGCATTCGGTGAATTTGAAAGATGAAGAAATGTAAATGGGAAGAGATGTAGAGAAGTAATTTGCTAAAGAAAAGAAATTTAAAATAGCCACGGAAGAGGCAGAGATGCGATTTGACGAAAGAAAAGAAAATAGGGTACCAACAAGAATGCTTTATTTAAATATTATAAAAAGTATAAAATATTGTAGTGTCTTGATACCGACACATCAATTTCAAGATAATGCAAATATCAATCAATTATAGTCCAAGCTTGTGGGAGGGGGTAGATCAAGTGCAACCACAAATTGTTGTGGCAACACCTAACCTTCTTGTTGATCATCTATGAAAAACCAATTTTTTTTTTCTTTGTTTCTTGAAATACTTGTACTAGATAAAGCCGGCAAGTTGCTAGATGAGGATTTTGCAGAAGCAATTAATGAAATTTGAACGTTGTTCCTCGTGATCCAAAGACATTTTACAAAACTATGAATCATAGGTAAAAAGGTGAAATGGATCGGCGATTATCTTGAAACTGCTCTTGGCTGCTGACGAAGAGCTGAGCGGTCGCCTAGTACAACTTAGGAACGGACATATGAGACCTGCTAGTTAGCAATGGAAGAGGGATCTTAGGTACAAAATTTGGCGAATAAAGAGGAATGAGCTTAATGGACAAAAGAAAATCTTAATTATCTTCCACTGAATTGACACTAGCCTCATTCTGTCTGCTTCTTCTCAATGTTTCCAGTTACCATCTTTTCACATATTATTCCATCTATATAAAAGCGCAACTGATCAACAATTTGCCTTTATTTCTTCATCACTTATATATTCATAATTTGATCCACCAAAACTCAAGAAGTGTCTCAAGATTTATTCAGAAAGAGAGACATTATTGAACTTGGAAATCAAGATAAGGTAAAGACGAGACATTAGCCAACAAATTCTCCCAGTCTAATTCTCCAAATTTGAAGTTCTCTCCTTGCCAATGATTTCCCATATCCTCTAATTTCATGCTTTCAGTATTATTCAAGTTATTATTATTATTAATGACCGTTTTCTTGTCAAAGACATAATTACTACCCTTGACGCCATTATTAATGTTGTCAACCCCGAAACCCTCTAATGCAGGAACACAAATGTCATTTTCGAACCCCATTAAACACTTTTCCATCACTCCACAATCCTCTAATCCCCCTCGACTTCCTGATGCAGTACCAACTTGTGTCACATATATCGGCAAATTCAATGGACTTACAACAGATGAACCATTTGCGTCGAAACTTTTGTTAACTGGTAGAAAACGGTTGAAATGGCTGCTCGAAGAAGATGAATCCATGCATGTGTTTACAACGTTATATGAGTAGTTGTGCAAAGGCATTATTATTCCTCCTGTAACAGTAGCTGATACTGAGACAGTACTGCATATGTTTGGAGAGGATGTTGTTGAAGTGATATTGTTATTTTTCAACCTCTTCTTTATTGTAGAATTCCAAAAATTCTTAATTTCGTTGTCAGTTCTCCCTGGAAGACGTGCAGCAATTTGAGACCACCTGGTACGCATTAAACATGAATACATGATCAACTATGCAGCTTAAGTTCATTGCTATCAATTAAGGTTATTTGAAGTTATGAGAATTTTAAATCACCTCATCTAAAAGTAACTTCGAGACATAGAGACATAGATGTGACATTATGTAATTCATTATGTAAATTTTGATGTACATATAGAATTTTTATGTTCAACACAAGTGCTCACTGTAGGGTCAATATGTACGCGCACAATTTCCACTAATAGATATAGTGGAAAAAATTGAACGCGTGATTGTTTTGTTCACTCTGACGTCTAATTAAACGCGCATGAAGAACGACACTGATTTAAGAAAAAATACATAAAACCACGAAAATTCATTGGAAAATTAAAAGTTGCATCCATGAATCCAACAATTTTCCGAGTTAATATTAGTAAGAAGCATATGTACAGGAAACTCTAACTAATGGTGTCATTGCAAGTACTGAAAATATTTACAGTTAGCTCCTTTGAGCTCGTTGTGCTTAGTTTATCCATTCTTTTTTAGGGGAAGTTTAGGATGGTTTCCAAACAAGAGCCTGTAGCTTTTTTCCAAGGGGGCGCGTGTACAGAGAGAGAGAGAGAGAGAGAGAGAGAGAGAGAGTACCTATTGCCCATAATGGAATGCAAATGAAGGATTAGTTGTTCTTCTTGTGGGGAAATCGCACCGCGCTTAAGGTCAGGTCTCAAATAATTAATCCAACGAAGGCGACAACTCTTGCCACACCTAAGCAAGCCTGCATTTCTAGCTATGTCCCTCCAACACCCTTGTCCATCTGTTAACATGTAATCCATCAGCTTCTCGTCTTCTTCCGGTGACCATAAACGCTTCCTAAAATTGCTCTTGTTCTTGTAATTCCCTTTGGCCTTAACCACTGAATCTGCAGGCTTCCTCATTATTAGTTTCAAACGAAGTTTTCCAGTGAACTTCTAACTTTAATTTCTTGTTGCAACTCTGACGATGAAGATATATAGATGAACATTATCAGAAAAAAAGGAAGAGGGATTATGTAAAGTGGAAGCAAATATGTTCAATTTCTAGTGCACATGATTATCTTCTGAGTGAAGAAAAGTGAATCAAAAAAAGACAAGACGACCGACTTCACCTTTCTCCCTCCCACTTGAAGGTCCCTCTCTTTTTTTAATTTTCCATTTGTGAGAGTGACGCAATATCGTAAAAAGAGTTGGAACTGTCATCGTGTGTTGTATATCGCCCAATAAATTTAGCAATTAACCATTGAGAACAAAGAGAAGACTCTAAATTTATCGAGAGTCGTTTTTATTAATACAGCATGAGTCTCGTAACAATTAATAATCTAAACAACTCCCAACCATCATCATCGCTATTATCCCCCCC